GTCAAATCCTCATTTATTGATGCTATGCCGACCCCTTTTTCTTAAAGTTTGACAAAATGTTAATGCTCGTACATCCTCAACTGAGCAGTGAGGAATATACTATCTCTTTCTAGAATGTTCTCCCTCCCACCGAATTCTCTGTCATAATTTAGTGGAGCTATATTACTCACTCCAGTCTAGCTGTTCCGTTTCCCACCGTAACCGCTCTGGTTCACTGGCAAACATACTCTCTCTGATGGCTATACTCTCTCGCTTCCCTCGCCTCTCTGTCCGCCAATTGATCGTTTTCTTCGTGGGTGGTCTACCTCCGCCCCCCACGGCGGATCTCCCGGCGGTCGTCCTTTGATAGATCCGAATTTCTCAGAAATTTGGAAATATCGAAGGTTCGAGAAGGTCTGGATGGTGAGCTGAAAAGCTTACAAAGGTACGTTTGTGTTTGCAGTTCGTTTTCTTGTTCTTACCTTGTGGCAAAGACAGAACTTCAAAAGCTTAGATAAGAAAAAGAGCTGAACAACTTATTGGCTGAATAGGAGAAAGCAGAATTCTGAGCGTTCTTCTTAATTGTTAATATTGTTGCTTCTAAACTTTATGATTGTTGTATTACGCATTCCTCTAGTTAAGGCCTACGCAGAGTGACTATCCTTAAATGCCTTACCATGGGCTTGTTGAAGTGAACCGCTTCTGTGAATAAATGATGTTTTCGTGGAAATATCATAATTACGCAGTCAAATAACATTTTTAGAAAAAGTCCCCAGCTCTTTTTCTTTTATAATTGATCCATACCAAATCAATTCTATCCTAACAAATGTTCTTCTGATCCTGTTATTGACATTTTTCAAAATTAAGTCCTTATTAGGAGCACGACTACGCAATGGCGAACTTATCGAGTAAGTGCTCTTCTGAAACTTGAAATGGAAAAATGCAGCCGATCTGCCTTATTGAGCAGTGACACCAAAATAAAGTGTAAACAGAAGTATCTGTGTGCATTGATTCTTGGCCTTTTTGAATTTTCATCTGAAATAGTTAGCAATATCACAC